CCAAGGAAATCAGGTCGGCTGAGTCAGTGAACTCTTTTAAGTCCCTTCTTAAAACATACTTTTATAGGAGAGCCTTTCCCGATCTTATTTGACTTTATTTTATCCCTTTTATTTTATTGTATTTTACAAATTTTATATTTATCTTAAACGTGTATTTTAGTCTTTTCAATGTTTTCTTGCTTTTATCTTGTATTGTTTTTGTATTATTGTCTCTTGGGTATTATTGTCTTTACACTTGTTAAAGCACTTTGTAACTTGTTTTTGAAAAGTGCTCTACAAATAAAGATTATTATTATTATTATTATTATTATTATCATTATTTCAGCAAAGACCTTTAACTCTTTTGTCTCTGAATTTTTAAGCTCAATCCTTAAATTTTTTAAACTCTGCTTTTCTATTTTTTGTTGTAGCTCGTTTTCTAGCTGTCAGGTTCACTGTGGGGCTGCAGAGACGTATGGAACATATGGAACAGACCAACAAGCCTGGGGAGAAGGTTGGGTTGGCTCGTGTTGCTTAACCTTCTGCCAACTTTTTCATTATTAGTAAAAAGTAAAGGCAAAGGAAGACGGCCCACCGGCCCGGAGGTTATAAGTCAATGACTTACATTTAATTATTAAATATCGTAGGCCATATAAATGTTCAATTTCAATTTTATTGTATTTCTTTAAAAGGGATAGTGCACATTAATGAACATTAATGATGTAAATATGCCAGATTTAGCCAGAAGGCTATTTTTTCATCTGTGGTACATTTATTCTGATTATAATTACTACTGATAATAATTAATACTAATAATATTTACAGAAATAAAATTTGTGCTTAATACACTTAGTTTCCTGCATTCTGGTGAATTTTTCTGCACTCATTTATTGACGAAATGTCTTTATTTATATAAAGAGAAACATAAAATTCAGGTGAAAAATCTAAATATAAAACTATAGTGTAACATAATGCAGTAAGACTCTCAGGCATTCTGTATTGCTGCCAGATATGTTTCTCCTACAGATAAGCTTTTCTTATTTAATTTCATCCCTGCTGAGTCAACACACATAGGCATGACTGAGGTAACCTCTTAAATGTCCATGTGGCACCTCTATGCGCATTTACGCATGAGGTACAGCAGCATAACTTCATTGATTATTTCAGTCTCCACACAGGATCGGTCAGGATGAACTGACAGCAGCCTCTCTGATCAGGAAAGTAATTCATTTAAACAAAAACACACAGCCTATAGAAATCTATTTACGCATGATACAGTGAGGAAAATAAGTATTTGAACACCCTGCTATTTTGCAAGTTCTCCCACTTAGAAATCATGGAGGGGTCTGAAATTGTCATCGTAGGTGCATGTCCACTGTGTGAGACATAATCTAAAAAAAAAATCCAGAAATCACAATGTATGATTTTTTAACTATTTATTTGTATGACACAGCTGCAAATAAGTTTTTGAACACCTGTCTATTATCTAGAATTCTGACTCTCAAAGACCTGTTAGTCTGCCTTCAAAATGTCCACCTCCACTCCATTTATTATCCTAAATTAGATGCACCTGTTTGAGGTTGTTAGCTGCATAAAGACACCTGTCCACCCCATACAATCAGTAAGAATCCAACTACTAACATGGCCAAGACCAAAGAGCTGTCCAAAGACACTAGAGACAAAATTGTACACCTCCACAAGGCTGGAATGGGCTACGGGGAAATTGCCAAGCAGCTTGGTGAAAAAAGGTCCACTGTTGGAGCAATCATTAGAAAATGGAAGAAGCTAAACATGACTGTCAATCTCCCTCGGACCGGGGCTCCATGCAAGATCTCACCTCGTGGAGTCTCAATGATCTTAAGAAAGGTGAGAAATCAGCCCAGAACTACACGGGACGAGCTGGTCAATGACCTTAAAAGAGCTGGGACCACCGTTTCAAAGGTTACGGTAGGTAATACACTAAGATGTCATGGTTTGAAATCACGCATGGCACGGAAGGTTCCCCTGCTTAAACCAGCACATGTCAAGGCCCGTCTTCAGTTTGCCAATGACCATTTGGATGATCCAGAGGAGTCATGGGAGAAAGTCATGGTCATGTGTCAAAATAGAACTTTTTGGTCATAATTCCACTAACCGTGTTTGGAGGAAGAAGAATGATGAGTACCATCCCAAGAACACCATCCCTACTGTGAAGCATGGGGGTGGTAGCATCATGCTTTGGGGGTGTTTCTCTGCACATGGGACAGGGCGACTGCACTGTATTAAGGAGAGGAGGACCGGGGCCATGTATTGCCAGATTTTGGGGAACAACCTCCTTCCCTCAGTTAGAGCATTGAAGATGGGTCGAGGCCGGGTCTTCCAACATGACAATGACCCGAAGCACACAGCCAGGATAACCAAGGAGTGGCTCTGTAAGAAGCATATCAAGGTTCTGGCGTGGCCTAGCCAGTCTCCAGACCTAAACCCAATAGATAATCTTTGGAGGGAGCTCAAACTCCGTGTTTCTCAGCGACAGCCCAGAAACCTGACTGATCTAGAGAAGATCTGTGTGGAGGAGTGGGCCAAAATCCCTCCTGCAGTGTGTGCAAACCTGGTGAAAAACTACAGGAAACGTTTGACCTCTGTAATTGCAAACAAAGGCTACTGTACCAAATATTAACATTGATTTTCTCAGGTGTTCAAATACTTATTTGCAGCTGTATCATACAAATAAATAGTTAAAAAATCATACATTGTGATTTCTGGATTTTAATTTTTATATTATGTCTCTCACAGTGGACATGCACCTACGATGACAATTTCAGACCCCTCCATGATTTCTAAGTGGGAGAACTTGCAAAATAGCAGGGTGTTCAAATACTTATTTTCCTCACTGTACATCAGGGGAGCTACTGTCTTGTTAAGAGGAGTCGAGCTCCCCCGTAGTTTGCACCCTGCCGACCATCAGATTCCAGCAACAAGGAAATACGTTACTCTTTTACTCATGGATTTGTTTTTCCAATTTCTTAGCTGTCCATCACCTCCATTTATTGTATTTCGCCTATTTAACCAAGAATGATAGAGCTAGAGACTGATGTAAGGAATTTATTGGGACCTTATTTATTGGAACTTCAAATATGTATATATTTGCTTAGTGTTTGGGCCCCTATGTACAAGCTTCAGATAGCTTAAAAAAGGGTGTCCCTTTTCACAAATATTTCTGATTTTACTTGTATTTTAATGTTTTGTGAAAAAACTAAACTGGACTAAAACTAACACTAAAACTAAACTAAAACTAAGCATTTTCCAAAAATAAAATCTAAACTAAACTAGCAAACCCACGTTAAAAACTAATAAAAACTAAACTAAAACTAAGCATTTTCCAAAAATAAAAACTAAACTAGCAAACCCACATTAAAAACGAATAAAAACTAAACTAAAACTAAGCATTTTCCAAAAATAAAAACTAAACTAGCAAACCCACGTTAAAAACTAATTAAAACTAAACTAGCAAACCCATGTTAAAAACTAAACTAAAACTAAGCATTTTCCAAAACTAAAAACTAAACTAAACTAGCAAACCCACGTTAAAAACTAATAAAAACTAAACTAAAACTAAGCATTTTCCAAAACTAAAAACTAAACTAGCAAACCCACGTTAAAAACTAATAAAAACTAAACTAGCAAACCCACGTTAAAAACTAATAAAAACTAAACTAAAACTAAGCATTTTCCAAAAATATTTTCCTAAACTAAAACTAAGCATTTTCCAAAACTAAAAACTAAACTAAACTAGCAAACCCACGTTAAAAACTAAACTAAACTAGCAAACCCACGTTAAAAACTAATAAAAACTAAACTAGCAAACCCATGTTAAAAACTAATAAAAACTAAACTAAAACTAAGCATTTTCCAAAACTAAAAACTAAACTAGCAAACCCACGTTAAAAACTAATAAAAACTAAACTAGCAAACCCATGTTAAAAACTAATAAAAACTAAACTAAAACTAAGCATTTTCCAAAACTAAAAACTAAACTAAACTAGCAAACCCACGTTAAAAACTAATAAAAACTAAACTAGCAAACCCATGTTAAAAACTAATAAAAACTAAACTAAAACTAAGCATTTTCCAAAAATAAAAACTAAACTAAATTAGCAAACCCATGTTAAAAACTAATAAAAACTAAACTAAAACTAAGCATTTTCCAAAAATAAAAACTAAACTAAATTAGCAAACCCATGTTAAAAACTAATAAAAACTAAACTAAAACTAAGCATTTTCCAAAAATAAAAACTAAACTAGCAAACCCACGTTAAAAACTAATAAAAACTAAACTAAAAAAAAGCATTTTCCAAAAAGAAAAACTAAACTAGCAAACCCACGTTAAAAACTAATTAAAACTAAACTAAAATTGAAAACAAAAAGTCAAACCGAAATAAAAATATAAACTAATGAAAAAATCCAAAACTATAATAACCTTGATTGTAACACACGTTTCTAACTAACGCGTATGATATTACCTGTTTTCTTTTAGTAATGTGTTATATTACTGCATTAAAGCAAAAAGCCATACATTACTGTAAATGCATTTCTTTTGTAACGCCTTACTCCCAACACTGATTGGGACTGAAATTGTTTTGAAATACTATAGAGATAAGCTACATTAATGGTATTCACACTAGCTAGACTGGTGTTTGTGTGGTGAAAATTAAAATATCCCCTCTCCTTTACCTCAAGTAAATGTAGCTGCAGTTAAGCAAGTACCAGTCATTAGGACCCATTGGGAATAACTCCAGCCCCCCTAAAATAACAACGTCCATATTTTAGGTTAGGATAAAACCCAAGTACAGAAATGCCAGCAGCAAAATGTACTTCACATGCGGACGTGAGAGAGATTTCAGCTTAGCCCCAAGGTATAATGGGACATGGACTGGATGCAGACGGGGATAAACACATTTGGAGCCAACGACCGATCTAGAGATTATCATTAAACATGTCTGTTATCAGTTGATGGAGGAGTGTTTTACAGACAGACTCACATTACAGGAGTCCTTTCCACCCTGGGTCAGACCAGCACAGATCATGTTGCTTGTGATGTAGCCATAGGCATTGTTACAATCCCTGTTGGAAACGATGGGAATATTCACCTCCTGCAGCTTCTGTGGGTAAGGAAGTGGAACTGAAAAGGAAAAATGCTTTTATGTTGATCTTGTATTATGCTTTTTGTCATTGTGAGTGTCTCACAATCTGATCTCTTCATTGTCTGAGACTTAGAGCTCCTTTGTTGCCCAGAAACTATTAAACCCATCAGAGTTCAGTAGTTCAGTAGTTCAGTAGTTTATTCTGACGCTCACCACATGTGGATTCAAATAGTTACCAACAGATGCACTTTTTTCTCCTGTTTGTCTGATAGAAACTACAACAAGCATCTGTTTGAGGACTTTTTATCCATGAAACCATATATTTGCAAGATGTTTTTAAAGGTTTACGTCTTCATGAGGAACCAATGGGCTTGGAGTCGAGAGCTACAGACAGAAAGTCAGACTGAGAGAAATGCTGCAGTCAAAATTTTTTTTTTGCTTAGGAAGGTTCCTTAGCATAGGGTACTGGACCATCATTTACGAAAGGAAAGGAGAGAATGCCGTCCCACAATTCCTCGCGGCAGTATATTTAAAACCGTTCTCAAACTCAAATGATGAAATCTCTCAACCGTATTCAACCGCTTTTTTTTTACTGGACTCATTTATGATACTTGAATAAGTATTTTTACAATTTCCTTCTTTCTTTTAGTTTGTTTTCTTTTGGCTTTGCTGTAATCTAGTACTTTTTCAACACTATTTTATGTTTCGGAGTGTTGTATTAGAATGTTCCATCCATCTATCCATCGTCAACCGCTTATCCGTTTAAGATTTCACCCCAATTCTCTCACATTTGTTAACTTTGGTCTGGAACATCCCAGACATTCACTACATTGAATACGTACAAAGAAAAAGGAAGGAAATAATAATAATAATAAGCAGTCTCTGAGTAGTCTTCTGGTTTATTAGAAGTAAGAGAAGTGACATTTGGAAAAAAATGAACGAGCACGCGTGTGTTATTTAGCACAAGACCTGACAGCCTGTGCATCTTTAAACCATGAAGCCAGACAGAGTTGGGGTGGATACAGACAGCTGACAGCAGAAATTACAGACGTGGATTTTACCAGATGGAAGGCTATAACATGGGACAGATTTTTTCAGAGCGGTCCTGAAGTTTTCTGTTTTCTGCTGGACAGGTAATTAACTTAAGTTTGTCAGACTTTAGCGACGCAAACGAAAGCTACATTTTCGAGACAATCAGCTGATCAGTAATGTTAATTGGGGCGGCTGTGGCTCAGGAGGTAGAGCGGGTTGCCCGTTAATCGGAAGGTTGGTTGTTCAATCCCCAGCCTCCAAGCTGCATGTCGAAGTGTTCTTGGGCAAGATCCTGAACCCCGAATTACCCCTGGTGGCAGTTCCACCAGTGTGTGAATGTTAGTTTCTGTTTGAGCACTTAGGCTCAGTGCATGGAAACATCAGCCAGCTAAACTTCTACTGCCCTGGTAGAAAAAACATGTAGGTGGATTATTTTCATGTCACCTACTTATTCTCCAGCCTGTGGTTTGGCATTGCTGGTTATGTTGAGACAATCAGCTGATCAAAACATTAATTGGCATTAAACAGATGCGCATGAAAGCTCAGATCAGCCAGCTAAACCGGTATGAAAGACAGCCGGTAGAAAACATATGTTGTTGGATTGTAATTTCATGTAGTTAATCTCCAGCACTCTTTTATGGCTTTGTTAGGAAGACAGATTTGTGCCAATAACTTTCCTGAGACAAACAGCTGATAAATATTATTGGCAATAAAACGGTAACAGCAGGGAAGCTGAAATTATGGCTGTCAGTGCTACTTGGCTTATCTAATTACGCAAAGCAAGAGTAGCTTTGATCCTTACCTGAGAATGCATTTGTAAACTTCATGTATTATGTGGTTTATAATGGACTGTGGTGCAGAAACAGTGAGGCTTACATTGGCCTGTTATCTGTCAGTGGCCATACTTGATGCACTAGATGTGATAGTTTTTGAGATGTTCTTCATTTACTTTGAGTAAATTTGAGACATCATGTAGCACTTCATATCTTGATGTGGCTGGTGTTTATTGATGAACAAATAACAATAATACGGGGGTGTAGAAATTCTTGTAATTCGCAACCCTCACGACTAGATGTCACTGGAACTTACACACTTAACCTTTAAAAAAAAACATCTGAGTACTTCTTCCACCACTGTTTTTTACATTTTTGAGGTTTTATTTTTTTTATTGTCATCATGTTGCTCCTCTGCAGTGGTTCTGGTTTATATAAATGTGTGGTCTATTGTGGTTTTGTTTCCAAAACCCAACAATAAAAATGTAAGAATTCATAAAATCATTCACAATCAACAAGACAGTTAAAAATTATAAAATAAATTCTCACCCCCAAATTGGATGTCTCCCCATCCGGTGACCCAGCAGGTCATCCCGGCATTAAAGACGCTGCCTTTTGCCGCCAGACACACGGGTCTGATGTAGTCAGTGATAGAAACAGGCGAGGACAGTTGCAGCAAGGCTATGTCGTTGTTGAGTGTTTCGTCATTAAAGTCTGAATGCGTGATGATCTTGGAAACAGTCCGGGACACCTCGTTAGGGTTAGAGAGTTTTTGGGTGTGACGTCCGAGGTAAACGATAAGACCAGATGTGCTGGGGCTGAGAAACAGAAAAGACAACATAGAGTATGCCTAGGTAATATTTTTACCCCTTATAGTACCTTAACGTTGATACTGATGCATAAGGGTTAAATATTCTACAATGCTGTAACTGTTAAATAATGTTTAATAAATAAGTCATCATGAGAAGTATTATAAACATTCATTTCAACAACATTTATTTTTATTCCTTGTTTTTATTGGAGTTCATTCTTTTGTGTCATTATAACATTTAGGTTAAACACTTTTTCTTTGAAACTGCTAAATTCAAACAAGTAAATATGAGTTTATTCACATTTTGGAACCATTATTATCCATTTATGTTGACTTGCGTTAATGTTTACAGCTGAGCCTACCAGCACTGACTGACTAAAAGACTCGTGACTACGTCAGAAACACTGGAAATTATTAAGAAATTGATCTGTAAAACCTAGATGAAAGCATATATTATCAGCTAATGAGTTTAGTTTTGACCATTTATTAAATAATTTAGCAATTCATGAACCACCATTGTTTCTTAATGTCATCAACAATACGTTTATTCTTTTGCTTCCATATATCATTTAAGACTTAGGGACTGAGAGGGGGAATTAAAGCCATGGGATTAATCTTAGAATTTTGAGGAAAAATAAAGTTTAAATAGTTTTTTGTTTCTTTCATTAAATTCAAATTCAGTCTCAGAAGTCACAATTGTACACTATACAAGCTCACTCTGTGTCATGAAGTGAGTCATATGACAGGATTGAAGTTCACCTCTCGAAACAGTGAGCAGCAGTCAGAATCCACTGGTCATTGATCAGAGAACCTCCACATTCATGCTTGTTGTTGAAGTGCAGACTGGCCATCCAGGGCCACCATCCTGCAGGAGCATCCTCCCCTACGATCCTGAGGGAGAGAGGCGCAATGCCACAAACTGGAGGGAAATAGTCAACTCAATTCAATTTTATTTATATAGCGCCAAATCACAACAGCATTTTCTTTCATAAAACTTTCATAAAAGAGCCTGCAGCGGTTACATGAACCGCTGCAGGCTCTTTTATTATTATTATTCAGGTGCTGTTTTTGTTTCTTTCTGGTTGCTATCAGGTGTCTGGATGCCTGTCATGTGTGGAATATGTTTCTGTTCTAAAGGTTCACTATATAAAATTTAGTGGCATCCATATGGGGGTAAATCTACGGAAGAGGATTAGGGCCACATGTGAATTTTTTTTGGAGTTCTGAGATTAAAGTCAGAATTCTGAGAAAAAAAAAAAAGTGATGCTCTCACATGGGACCCACAGGTCCTCCATACTTCTGACTTTAATCTTTGACCCTTAGCCTTTAATCCAAGCTGGGCCAGCATAGCTCCTTTTCCCATCTCTCTTTGCTCTCCTCTGAGATGATCAGAGCCACCGGGGTGCCTGGTCCAATTTAATTAATTACATTAACCATGCCTTTTCAGCAGTAGTTCTATATAATCATCATCTATGCCCAGTTCAAAGTAAAATTCAATAAGTTGATCCATACTGGGGCGTTGCGCTGGGAGCAGCTGAGCGGAAATAGACACTGCTATAGCTCAGAAGGAATGCAATAAGAAAAGCATTGCGAGGGAATGCCAAATATTGTGAACACAAAAGTAGTAGTAGTAAAAATTTCCTCGCTGTGACCCTTCACGGGCTCTGTATGTTGTGATCTCTGTTTGAAGCCTTTCCTTATGTTTTGTATAAACAGAAAATGGGTAAATCAGCTATGTGTTAACTTTGAAAAAGAGAAATTAAATGAATAAATATGGAAACTCACCATCTAATTGTGCGTTGCTTCCTGTGGGAGAGAAAATAAAACATTTTGTTATTTATAGGGAACTGCTTGTTTGCTGTACAGTGATTTCTAAAATTTTACATTTCTGAGGAAAAGAATCAAAGAAATGTGGTTGGGAAACCCTGGTCTAAGCTAAATAACTGTATAAAGTTGTTAAAAATAGCTATACTAGCAAAATGTGCTAAATTAATTAAACTGTATATAAAACAGTTAAAACTAGTAAAGTGTAAAACAAGCAGCTACAACAGTAAAATGCTGCTCACACATTGATGCATCAGTCACAGAAGACATTTTACTGTAGAACCAGTGCTCTAACTACAGATTAACTACATTTTTACTGATAACAATAATATGACTTCTATAACGTTTTAAATGGAGGATTGTTTTTACTTTGTTAAATTTATACTTTCATTTCAGTAAAGGATCTGAATACTTCTTCCATCTCTGCTGTAGGGTAAATATGAATCTAGCCCTGCAGCTGGCTAACTAGCTTAGCATAAAGACTGAAATCAGCTAGCCTCAGTATGTTTATTTCCCTGTTTGGATCCTTTGACTGGTCATTACAGCATCGTAAAACAGGAAAAACTAATAAAATAATAAAAACATAACATCATAAAACTGTAAAATAATCAGTCGATAAAACATAAACTATAAAGGACTTTAAAAAAACACAAGACTGCATTAGTCAGCATTAGGCGAGACAAGGGCCAGTTTAATTTAAGCTTCAGTTGCTTTTTGCGTGAATTTGCTGTAAGTAGATAATTACACTGAAACAGAAGAGTCAGTCTCTATTATTAATATTTTCTTTTAACTATGAAAATAGATCACTTTCTTGTAATAGGAGAGCATTGGGTTGACTCTTACCCCTTTTCTTCATTCTATTGTTTTTATTTTATGTCCTCTATGTGTTTTATTTTTAGCATTTTTTTGTTTTTAATGCTTAGCACTTTGGGATTTTTTAAAATAGTAAGTGCGATATAAACGAAATATATTATTATTAGGGGTCCATGCTTGAACCACGAATGCAAGGCATCGCTGTGCCCAGATCCAACAAAAAACATTGCAATTATATGCTAATAAATCTTTGGAATGGCTGATCGACACCAAATTTGGAGCATTAATGTGGGACGCTCCCCTGAGGGCCTGTGCAAAATTTGGCGCAACTTGCCCCTATGTGGCGCTATATAGAATCCCAATAAATTGTTCCTCTATAATCACAACTCACATTGACATGAAACCAGAGCCGAATTGTTCAGCATGTTCCCCTTACTACAGGCACCAATGTTCACCAAAATATGCCCATAGGTGGCGCTGTAATTTCACATTAAAGACGTCAAAAAAAAATCCCATTGACTTAAATGCAATAACAAAATGCGAAACTTGACGACCTTATGTGCCATGCCCCCCTGAGGGGCTGTGCAAAATTTGGTACAGGTAGCCCCTAGTTGGCGCTGTTGAAAAAAATCCCATTGACTTACATGCATTTTATATCTCCATAACCACAAACCAAATTTGGGGCAATTGTTCCCCATTCAATTCAATTTTTAATTCAATTCAATTTTATTTATATAGCGCCAAATCACAAGAACAGTTATCTCACAGCGCTTTTCATAAAAGAGCAGGTCTAGACCGTACTCTGTGATGCTATTTACAGAAGCCCAACAATTCCCACCAAAAGCAGCACTAGGCGACAGAGGCTTTTAAGAGGCAGAAACCTCGAGCAGAACCATGGCTCAGGGTGGGCGGCCATCTGCCTCGACCGGTTGGGGTGAAGAAGAGAGAGGGAGAGAGAGAAAAAGAGAGGGAGAGATGGAGAGAGACCGAGTGAATGATACCAAATTAGGTGTAATTGTTCCCCATGGGCCCCTGATGACACCTAAAAAAATTTGGTGCAATTCCACTTACAGGTGGCGCTAAAATCAAAGCTGAAATCTCTCACTAAACTCCATTCATTCCAATGGCATTTTCAAATGCAGGACATTTTGCCTCTTTATGGAATGGCCTATTCAAGACCAAACTCGGAGACCTTATGCGGCACCACAGCGGGGCACCCGGGCCGACTCGCGCGCCCTCCGTGGGGCCAGGGGGGGAGGCTTGGACCCCGCTTACAACTGCTTGCAGTTCTAGTTATTATTATTATAATTAGAACATGTGATCAACATTCTCTACTGAGAAAAAATTTAACAGGACTCACCTGTAACCGCGAAGACCACGAGCACGACACCACAAACTAACAGCTTGACCTCCATCGTGCGATTCTTCCAACTGTGTCTTGTAATTTATGGAGAAGCTAAACAGCCTGGAACAGGACGGTGTGACTCTGTTTGGTCTGGCTGGAAGATAAGTCAATTTATAAGGAAAAACAAGGTCAAACATATTATTAAGCCATAAACGTGGACTCCAGGTATTCAAGAGCAAAGAGCAAATAGAAGAAATAAAGAGTGAAATGTGCTGCCATCCACACAGTTGGATTCTGAGTACAGCATCTTTAAATGTGAATTAAAAGGTCTCTTAGATTAACAGTGTGACTTGTGGTGAGAGAATATTGGTCTTAAAAAGAAACGTTTATAATTTTACATGCTTATTGTGGTCAAACCTTTTATGGAAATTAAGTTTCGGCTTAGTTAAAAATTACTTTCGGTTAGTGTTTCAGGCATCAATTAACAGATATCAGTCAATATCGATTAGTAAAAGCAGTAAGAATTACAGAATAATGTTGGAGATTCTTTCTAATTCCCTCATTTGATTTTCTTAATTTTGTAGGATTGGAACAGTCCTTTCTTTGGTGGTGTGTGGAGGCAACATCATGAACGACACTGTGGCAATACCTTTAATATTTCAATGCCTTTTATGCTCACATCGTGTAGTAAATACACTTCTGTTTAATTAACTTATAAACACAAGGGGTTCAATAGAGGCACATTTTACACCCTGCTTCATTTCCCTTTTGTTAAATACAGAGTTAGAGGAAGTATTCAGATCCTTTACTGAAGTAAAAGTACTAATATAACACCTAAACAATTCTCTATTTCAAGTAAAATGCTGCATTAAAATTGTTACTTCAGAAAAAGTAGTAAAGCAGTAAAATTCAAATCAGTGCTTAGGCACATTCATTTAATGACACTCACTGACCTCAAGGTGGCGATGTAATAATCTTTACGTTTTAGCAATTATCTCGAACAGCTCGGCCAAGAGTTCATATTCTTTCTACATTTTCACCTTTCAACATGTCTGCATCCGGTCTTCTGCTCTAATTTTTTCCCTTAATTTTCTCAAAATCCTATCTTTGACTTCTCATTAGAAAGTACTGGGTCAATCGTCCCAACACTTCAGGATCATCTACAGAATGAAAGAAAATTAGACACTTCAATCTGTTTCAATATACAAACCGATCAGTTTTTACTAAAATAACAACAAATGTAGTCGTGTGAAAATTCACTGAAAGTCATAAGTTACATAAAATGTTTGTTAAACAACAGAGCAGCAAAATAGAGAGAACACTATTCATTAATCAATTAAAAAGGAAAATCAAGAGTTTTTCTTCTTGTCAGTTAAATAAGAAACTATAATCCAAATACAAGCAGTCTGCTTGGACCCTGATCGTTACAGCTTGTTGCTATATTTATTGTTAGTTTAATGTTTTTAGGCTTCAATTTAAAAAAAAATCTATTTTTACCTTATTCATCTCAAAGTCCAAGAAGTGACTTGGTGACATATAGTAATGTTTTATTGCTGTGTACCTTGATAACTGCATTTATAGCACTGCAAAGTAGATACAGTATGTGTCACTCCAATATTACATGTTCTATAAAAAGTATTCATCACTATTTCAAAATTGGCTTTTTTACAACATTAAATGAAAGATTTCAGGTGACTTATTACTAATTTACAGTAGACTTTATTCGCTCTATAGAGATCCAGTTTCCCTTTGATGTTAAAGTCTCTATTTCTGTTGGTTAGTGTCTAATAAAAAACAATAAATCTATTATCATTCAGTGTTGTAAAACAGGCACTTTAACGTTGCACAATTTGCTTTTTACCCCTGTAGGGTTGTCAGGGGGTCATGAGACTTTGCCCGTCCAGTCTACATGTGTTTTTGTGGACCAGGGAGTCCTGTAGGGGCACTGTGGAGTATGCGGGACCAGAGCTGTTGCTGCGAGCACGCCGCTACTTGTATATCCAAAGTGAGAGCTGTCAGGCGGACCCTAGCGGAGAGGATGGAGAGGTTGGAGCCTGGGTGAGGAGCTCAGACATCAAGAGTGAGATGTAGTAGTACAGCCCTTCCAGTCTCACCCTCTCCAGCGGGGGAGGGGGGAGAGCCAAACAGCAGCCCTTTTGGCCATGGTGCGTGTGCAAATGCGTCTACGCCCAAGGGCGGACTGTCCTGTGGTAGGATCGAGAACCACAGCAGGCAGTGCGTGTTGGGCCGTCTGGCATACAGGTCCACCTGCGCCGTCCCGAACCAAGACCAGATCTGGCCACCTCCTCCTGAGAGGACAGGTTGGCTTCCTTGATGCCCTGGAAAGACGGTAGGATACGGCAAAATTGTAGGGAGTAACCCCACCTCAATATGCCGTCCAGAAAGCTTTCTTGGCCCTCACTGCCACCAAACCCTCCATAAATGGGAGTTTGGCCCAAGGGGTGCCACAATTGAAAGGGCCAAAAAAAACGAGTGGACTGTGGTGTCCTGAACGCACCACGGCCGGTCGCTCCGTTGACGTCATTGCCTGCAACAGTGTTGTCGTAGCGTCTTTGGTGACGTGTTCACTATCGGAAGAACTGTTGTGAGGAGCAGTGACGAGGAGAGTTCTCCTTTCCACAGCTGTTGGCCACTGTGGGAGAGATTGTGTCCCCTCTGCTGCCAAACGGCGCAGCGAGCCGCTCGCGATCTTCCCTGCTTCGTTATGACGGGAGAGACGTGGCCAGTGGCAGCATCTTTCCAGCAATAGCGGGCCAGGCCGCTGCTACATGGTTACGACCTCTCATTGGAGCAGTTGCCTGTACTAGCAGCACGCCCGAGCGGGTTCACGTAAGCGAGCTGGGAATGCAGGCTAGGATCAGATAGCATTGTGCCGCTTCGGCTTGTTTCTCCGCCATCATGCCGTGGAAGCCAATTGTGGCGCATGTCAGGCGGTTAGCTTAGCGCCGTGTTGATGGGGCATGTTCAGCACAACACTTTGCTGGGAAGGGGTTGGTGGGGAGGAATTAGCTCTTTGAGGAATGTAGGTTGTTTTAATCAAAACATTTGGCACATTCACAACATTGTCACAAGCAGCACACAACATATTAACATAGTGGCTTGGACATGAGACGGAGGGGAGGGGCTCGGCATCTCCGTCCTCAGCCACTCATTTCAGCAGCTGCTTCTTCCCCAAGCTGCAGGTATGGCTAGCGGGGGGGGGTCTAGGCTGCTCCTCTGGCTGCGATATATATCCCTTAGCCTGGGCGGGATCCCTGGGTGGCACGGTGTCTTGGGGAGGGTGCTGAGGCGGTTGAATGGGGGCCGGAGCATCCTCCTCAGCGGGGAGGGGATCCGGGTCTTCCTCGCTCTCCTCGCAGATGAGGGAGAGCTCACACTGCCGGAAATACCATCTCTGGCGTGGTCCCTGCCAAGGCATTCAAAGCAGAAGTGATGAGTGTCGACCCCAGCGATCAGTCCGGGGCACGAACAGGCCAAGACCAGCTTAAAGGAGCGGCGACTCCATCCGTGGAGGTGAAGGTCAGTGGGCGGTTCGCCGTCTGTCAGAAAAAAAAAGGATGCTGAGCAGTGAGGACACCGCTATTTATACTGTACGCACGTACAGTAGCGACGTCCAGTTGGTCAGCTACTTCCAGCATGCAAAATTTCATTGGGCGAGTACGTGCGTGTGATAGGAGGAGAGGTAGTACTCATAGAGTCCAGTAGAAGGCGGAGTGATATAGATGTGAGATAGAACAGATGCCAGTGTTCCCTATGCATTCAGCACAGCACCGCTGCGGAATAAATAACCTGCCCACTAAAATGTCACACAATCATTAATATCAATGTGCAAGTAATGAATAGGAGAATGAAAGTTAGTGGAGGAAAATATTAGCAGTAAGTTTCAGCCCGGTAGTAAACGTGCAGTGTAAGTCACAGTGTGTCCGTTAATAAAAGTCTTTCCACTGCTGGAAAAGTGAAGCCTGTTAGCACTAGCACATTTTTGGCTACGTTAGTTAAATTAGTATCGAAGTAATGTTAATTAGCTCAGCTGTAAGTCATTCTAACTTTCCTAAAGTTAACCCTACTTTTCAAGGTTTGAGAACATCTGGTACAAGCTTAGACTAAACTGGTGTACAGCTCTGTCCTGTACACATAATGTCCATCCTGATAATTATATTTCAGTTTTTAGAGGAGTCTGACAACTGGTTGTTAAAGAAACAAAGGACCATGGAGCTGAGGTTAATGAAGTAAATTAGGGATGCAAACTTGTCCTTTTAAGCTAATTAGGAGATGTTTCTAGTTAGGAGTCATCAGAACCCTGCACCACCGAGCTGAGAATATACCAACCAGTGCCCAAGAGAAGGGAGAGAACCACCTGAAAGGGGCACTAAAAGCAGATACCCTAAATGGACCTTTGTGAAAACAGCCACGAGTACCAGGAAGAACAGCAACACTACGAAGGAGGAGGAAAAGAAGTTCAAACACAACAACATTGTTACAGTATAGGTCTATGCTCCTCGATGAGCAAAATGGGTGTAGTGCAGTGAAGTCCATGTAATTTTGATGTAACTGTGTACAGTATGACTGTCCAGTGTGTAAAAAGAACCTTACCAATGACATCATGATTTTGCATTTTCTAAGAACAGCCAGACGACTTTCTGAGGGTGGAAGACAACGTCAGTTCAGCCATCAACAGGAACTGGCTATTGTCAGTACGGTGTTGGCAAACAACGCCATCCGCCTACATCAACTACGAGAGCAAATCCTTGCTGATCACACAACATTCCTTAATATACCGAGCTGTCAGTGCAAGACTCCTGAAGAAGAGAGGAGGTGGCCTCGATGATGCTCGGTGCACAAACACAGTCAAGATGTTTCCCCAAAGTCAGACTGTTTAATGTGAAGGTGAAACCAGATTATCATTTTGTTGCTGCTGTTTACATTCTCCCGGACGCAAATAAAAAAAAAACTGCAGAATGTTCTTTATATGTGTATGTACATGTATGTATATATGTATATAAATAAACTATTGTTTTATTTGATTTATTTATTTAATTATCTGTTAAATTCTGTGTGTGTAGAATGAAGGGACTACAAACCTTGTGTTGTACAATGAAAAATAAACAACCTTGTATCATATTATTAAGTTAATATTATCGCTGTATTAAGATGTGAGCATCATTTCAATGTTGTAGACGGACGAGGTGGAGATAATTTAAACTGCTTTATATTCTGCTGGGAAGAACTCTGCACATGGAGGTTTCATCATAAAGTTATGATGGAAAAATACACAGTAGGTGACACAGAGCAGCTGAATTATACTGATTCACTCTTTATGTCCGTCTACACTGACAACTGGACCGAGACTGAGGAGTCCTGCTGTCTGCTCACAGATGAAACTGGTTAAACTGCCTCAGTGTTTCCTGGGAACAGATGACCTTGATTTGAAACGAGTAAACACTGTCGACACCATGAAGGCCAAAGTAACGTTTGTACAATCTGTGCATCCATCACTCACAGAAGAAGTACTCAGATCCTATACCTTGAGTAAAAGTATCAATACCACAATGTACAAATACTCCATTACAAGTCAAAGCCTCTATTCAAAATCCTACTGAACTACTAAGCAAAAGTACAGAAGTGTTATCAGTTAAATGTACTTTAACATCAAAACTCAAAGTAACTATGCCCACATTGACTGATAATGTGCTTTTCATTTCTCACTGATTGATTGAGCTGCGCTCCAGCGATCCATTACCCTTTTACGTGATCTTTTTATGGAGGTCAGGAGTAGGGTTAGGGTTGTTGTTTTTTTCTCCAGTAACACATGACTTGTTACAAACTGGATCTGCCAGTTTACAAACATTCCAGACACGTTCATCAGGGCTGCTAACTTTTCATTTAGTTTGGAGGGAGATTCAGTATGTGTGAAGTTTGTGCGAGTCTCTGACTTTACCCACTGCAGCGGTAGGGGTCATCACTCCTCAGCCCACAAAAACTTAAGCAACCAAATTCACAATTTTAAAGCACATATAAATAATAAGCCGATTCAATAATCAAATATAAACCTTTAATAAGTATGGTTGATGGAGGGAATTCTGCTGATGAATGAACACCTTGAGGTGAGCGCTTCATCTGTCTAATTTAAAAAGTAAAAAAAGCTTTGTTTATTTGCCATCGTGTCAGTCAAACATGTTACGACCATACAATTCATCTGTTTAACTAAATCTTTATGTGAAAGACTTTAAATCTAAATGATCACAAAATTGAAACAAAACGTTAAAGAAAGGAAACAAATCAACTGTGAGATTGAATATTGGTAAATTAGTTGAATTTTAAAGCCCTTTAAAATTACATTTTAAAATGTTAATCATTAATTTATTATTTATTCATTAAATGGTCAATTTAATGATCTAATATCTTTTTCTAATTATTTTTAAAGGGGCCATTTATTAACTGATTATAATCAAACACACAAGTTACAATAACACTCCAGGTTCATAATTCATATTATTAATTTCATGATGTTGAAGATGGTCGATACCAACAAGTTTAAAGTTCTTGGTTGGTCCAAATCTTTGAGTACATCGGGCCTTGTGAAGTTAAATTACATATTCTCTATTTTCTGCCATTTTAAAGACAAAATGAGTAATCAATTAATGGAGAAAATAGTCCAATCAAAATTAGAACCACACAACTTCTGGTAATACTTAAACAAAACCAATTAAACTTCCTGTGAAAGGACAAAAGAGGAGATAGGAAAGGTAAGATGGACAGTAGCATAGGAACCGAGAGGGGAACC